TATATTTATAATAATTTATAATTTATATTTAGACTTCCTTCTTATCTGACTTTATTCCTTACTAGGCTATACATCTTTTCACAGAAAGTTCCTTCCATCATCTGGTTATCAAAGTTTTCTTTGTACCTAGAACAGAGCAACAGTTCAAATAATGGATATGGAGTACTTTCTAGATGAGAAAAGGATAATAAAAGGTAAACAATAGTCCATGTTGATCTTTACAGAGTAAGCTGCTTCTGTGCTTATTCCAAGTACTGAAAAGAGCAAGATTTTGTGAAGAGCTAGAATGTAAAATCTGTGGAGCACAGCCTCCTGGGTGTGCCCAGCCAACTGCCCAGGAACCACACAAAAAAGGATTCCATCAGATCCTGTGGTGTAAGGCACTGTTTAAAATCAGAATTCTATATTTTCTGTTTGGGAAAACAAGGTTTAAAGAGCCAGGCACTTATAGCTACTTTTTCGTGTAGAGTATTAATGTGAAGTACTTTATCACCTATAGTTTATAAATAGTGAAGGACCTGTGCTAGCTGACTTGAATTCTTTGTAACAGTTTATTCACTGTGAGAACTGGACATGACATGTCAAGGGCTAACTTCATTGTTTATCTCACTACACAAAACAAGCTACTTAGCTTGGCAAAATATTAATATTTTGAGTCTCTGCCTCTTTTAAAATAGCAGATAAGCAAAAAGGATCAGGAAAAAATACCAATTTTCAAAGCGCAAAGACACTTGTAAGACGATGGATGAAGGGAGCAGGACTGCTCTTTTATCTTGGTATTACCAAAGCCTAGCGTGCCATCCGACACCATTTGACACATGCTTATTGCATGTATTTTTCTTCATCAACAATTAGTTTGGAGCTTTTACAAATCACAAATAACATTTCAACCAGCTGTTTAAAAGCTTTTAAAGTTCTATATGGCAATAGTACTTCAACAGTAGACAAGAATAATCAAATCGAGAGAGCAGCTTATCTCAAAATCACAAGATATGAGTATATTTTTAAAAGAGAAAACAAGGTATGTATGCACTAGATCTACTTGACTACGCAATTTCAAAAAAACCAAAACACAAAGGTTCGAAAACTGGCAAGTTTAATTTTAAAAACATATAGCTGGGGATATATCTTAATGGTAGAGTATTTATGTAGCAGGCATGAGATCTTCCTTGGCTTGATTCTCAGCACTACCAATACATACATAACACACACACATGCAATTTCTTGAGTCACAAACTGTGGTGCATCTACACCACAGAATAGTATTTAGCAATCAATAGAAACTCATTAATGACATACATAACAACTTGCACATACCTCAGGAGCATTACAGTATGTAAAAAAAAAATGCCTGTCTATAAATGTTACTCTCTCTCTCTCTCTCTCTCTATATATATATATGTATGTGTTATATATATAAAATGTGTGTGTACACATGCATGCAAAACTTCTCCAAATGAAAAAACTATATAGATGGAGAAAAGAGTAGCGGTTTATAAGGTTTGGGGTGGTGGGAGATCAGGATGTGGAGGTGACACTAAGGGGACGCACTAGGAAAATATCTGTGATGTCTTGAATTGTGCAGTGGTCACATAAATGTGTACATGGAGTTAGTCTTGTTGGTGCATGCCTATAATTCCAACACATGAGAGGCTAAGAGGATTGTAAGTTTTAGGCAATAAGCTGCCTGTGCTAAATAACAAAACTGTAACTTCCTTAAAAAATGTATCTACACATGGCTCCAAAAAGAGAGAACTAAATGTGTATATGGATACATCTTATGATTTCAATATCCTGATTTGACACACACTGTATTATACTTACATCAGATGAAAGCACCGGGTGAAGGGGGAAAAGGAACCTGCCAACCTTTGCAGGTATTGTGAAAACAGTACTTTAAAATAAAGTTGTTTTTGACTTTTTTTTAGCATTTTTATTGAATTTTTGAAATTTTCAGACAATATAATTTGATGATATTTATATCTCCTCTCCCATCCACACCTCCCTGCACCCCCCCCACACTTAATTCAACGTATTCTCTCTGGGTATAAAGCTTATAGAGTCTAACTTGAATCCCCAAATGTTCTCCAACTTGGGTTCATCCACTCGAGCTTGCATAGGACTTGTGCATGCTGTCAACATGTGAGTTCATATGAGTTTTGACACAGGGTCTCCCTGTAGCCCCAGCTGTCTGGGAGCTCACTATGTAGACCAGGCTGGCCTTGAACTCACAGAGATCAACCTGCATCTGCCTCCCAAGTGCTGGGATTAAAGGTGTGCACTACCATACCCGGCTCAAAATAAAGTTTTAAAAGTCATTAAAGTTCTAATATATAAAGTTTTAAAATAAATACAAAGTAGATGTAAATCCTATTAATATTGAATGTGATTTTATTTTAAAGGAAAATGAGTTTGTTAGATTTAAGGGAAAGAAATAACCATTGGACAGATGCTGCTTATTAATAAATAGGCTTCTTTCTTTTTTTATCTTCCTGTCGCTGCCTCCCAAGTGCTGGGATATGGGCTGTGCCACCTGTTTCTCAGTGTTCCATTCTGAGTATTTCATCTATTTTGGTTGTGTTTTGGTTTTGTCTACATGTAACTAAATATATGTCCATTAAAGAAAACTTTTATTTATTTGTGGTACTGGGGATTGGATCTGGGGGCTCAAGTACTCTAGGCAAACAATCTACCAGTGAGATACATCCCCAGCCTTCTGTTCCCTTTTTATTTTGAGATAGCCTTGCAGTAAGATGCCCAGCCCGCCCCTGCCAGGCAGACCTTGAACCTGTGACCTTCCCGCTTCAGCCTCCTGAGTAGCTGGGATTACAAATAGGCCTTTGCCATAGGGTCAGCACAGAATACAAACTCCTGATTCAAAAAGACTCTAGGAACTGTTTTTAACTGTAGCTTAAGTAAATCTGAAGAATTTACTAACCTCAGCACCATGGGCTCCAAGGCCTGGGAGGCTAAACGTTCAAACATGCGCTGGAGCGGTGGGTGCAGAGAGTGGTCCTCATCTGCCAGGGCGGCACTGCACCTCTGCAGCAGTCGTGCATGAAGACCAGCTTCACACATAACTTGCTGGTTTCTCTCTGTGTGCACCAGGGATTGCAAAATGTTGGCCACAGCAAGTTGGAGGTCCAAAGCATGCTAAAGTTAACAAAGAGATCCATGCCACCACAGCATTCTTAGTGAGGTAGATGACAATTTCCTCTATATCAAACACAACTTTTAATACAAAGTCTTGAGTTGCTTGAAAGTATATTCATGTAAACTAAGGAATGGAATACATGCATATTTGACTGAGCTCTATTCTCTCTGAAGTCTTTGAATGACATGACTATATAACAAATAGTTCTATTTTGATAGAAACAGTAGGTGTCAAGTCTTTTCTCATGGTGGGTAGATAAGTAGCTTAAAGGGAGTTTGTCATTCACATTTGTGACACTTTGGGCCTTAGAAGCCATACAACATTTTTAACTCCAATTTAAACTCCCCACCCCCAACTTTTGAAACAAGTTAAAACAGATAAACAGCCTCCCTAGTATCTGTAGCCAGTGTCCCTTCTGTATTATTCCTTAACTGTTTCCACTCCCAAGCAGGACTTACAGGAATAACATGGGACTCTAGCACCAGAAGCAATCATTGCAGTTCCATTGGTGAACTATATTCCAAAACACAACTGCTTATCTTGTAAGGCAAGACTCAAACAAAAAAGCCCTACTGCGTGCGGTATGTAATACGTCTCGGGTATACTTCATCTGCCTTCTTTCCTAGTCCTCATTATGCAGGTAAATATACTTCCCTTTCATTCATTAAACATTTTGAAGAACTACTGTAACCCAGCTTACTTCTGGCTGTGTCACTGACCCTACAGAGGCCAGGAGGTCCAGCATGGCCAGCATGGCTCCAGGGTGGATGATGACTGCATCGGAAGTCTGCAGAGGTGAACTTGTCACATGAAGTTTCAGATCAGCAACATTTTTTGTGGGATAAACTGGGGGAGTGGAAACACAATGAAATGCATGCCTAAAAAAAAAAAAAAAAAAGAAGCCTCATTTAGAATCTGATTAAAATCACAATTATAGTTCCATCTTCTGTTAATTTTAGTCACTGATAAGCAAAAAGTCTTGTAATTCAGGGAGTTATAAAAGACCTGGTGTTGCCGGGCATGGTAGCGCACGCCTTTAATCCCAGCACTTGGGAGGGAGAGGGAAGCAGATCTCTGTGAGTTCAAGGCCAGCCTGGTCTACATAGTGAGTTTCAGGACAGCTGGGGCTACAGAGAGACCCTGTCTCAAAAAGACCAAAAAAAAAAGAAAAGCAATCTGTTATCAATACATGGGTTATATCAGCACACTGAGGTACAACTATTGGCTCATTTTGTCTTTGCTATTTGCTCTTTGGGTTGTTGCATTAAACAGTGGCAATCATACCAGCAGATATAAAGGGGGGGGGTGTGAAATAAGTAATTCACAGCTCTAAGATGAGAGTTTGGACATCTCACTACATTAAATCACTTAATGAGATTCTTTTGAAGCAGGCAGTGTATATTTAAACTTGTGTCACAATGACCATAGACTCTAAAGCAACAAAATGAAAGTGTTCACCTCTATCTAAAACAGCTGAGTCAGTGTTGGCTCAGTGTTCTGGCCACTAGAGAATGATTGTAAAATAAGCATCATGGAGTTTCTCTGTTTTTTTCTGGAACTACACTCATCTTTTATGTGTATCCTCACTGCCACTGGAAACAGCCATTACAAGGAAGTACTGGTGACTGATAGCTGCTGGAATATGAGGTCAGATTTCTTTAAGGGCATGACAATGGCTAGGTTGACCAGGCTCCAGGGGATGCACCCACACCCAAGAGCATTTGGGGACACAAATTAGACTTGATAGGCCTTAAAAACAATAATAGAGGACATAAAATAGAGCGGAGAATAGTCAGGTGGGGGTAGAGGGATCTGAATATGACTGAAATACATTATATAACATTCTCAAAAGATAAAAATTGTTTAAAAAAGCAAACAAAAAGCCAGGTGTGGTGGCCCCATGCCTTTAATCCCAGCACTCGGGAGGCAGAGGCAGGCAGATCTCTGTGAGTTCAAGGCCAGCCTGGTCTACATAGGAGTTCCAGGACAGCTGGGGCTACAGGGAGAGTCTGTCTCAAAAAGACCAAATAAAATAAAATAAATAAATAAATAAAGCCAAACACAAAAAAAAGAGAAGACAGATTTTATGCAACAAGTTTCTGTTAGACAATCAAGCCATTCCCTGAATATGCAAATTTCCTCTCCTCAATGTTTCCATTTCTACTCCACACTATAGTCACCTACAGTTCATGAATCTGCAGCACACTCCTTTTTATCTTGGCACTCAGAAACAGGTGCTTGTGGCCACAGTCTGTGTGAGCTTGCTGCTCTAATGGGTTGGTCCCAGTTAAGCTGTCCAATGCTAAGCTCTGTGACCAAGAGCACTGCTGCTCCAGCTCTTGAGCACAGGAGGAGCAGCTTGGAAAACAGATGCTTTACATCCGTGACTTAGTACCCAAGAACTGACACTGCCATGTTCTCAAAAATTTCTCTTTTCACAGAAATTCTAGGAAAGCATTCAGCTGCACTTATAAAAAAAAACACACATGTTCTCTTTGTTAATTTAAAAGTTAGCAATTCTGCACCCATTTACTGCTTTACGCCTTGGTTTCTGCTGGTTTGTATTCACAAAGATGTAACTTCTAAACCTAATACAAAAGAGAGTACTAAATACTTAATTACTAACATGAATTCCTTCCTATTTGTCCACTTTATACTTTAAAATAATTATATCTGTCTAGAAAAAAATTATACCCCCTCTATAGTACAGCAGAGATCCCCAATCACTAAATTAAAAAAATTCAAGGAAAGCATTTTCATTATACACAAAACAACTCAAATTTGACAAAAACACAGACTTCAGTTGTACATTTACATTAGGTTTTCCAAACATCTCTAAATGAACAGATTTATTCCTGATTTGAACTTTAAATTATGGCCATGATTAGGAAGACACTTTTATGCCTTTGAAAATGAACTGTTTACTAACCTATAACTATTATAATAGTAAACTTTAAAAACCTCACATATGAAGACAATATTCTCATAAAGGAATTACATGGTTTTCAAACTAGAAAAAATATTGTAATGTTGAAAATCTAAAAACATGATTAACTAAACTTGGGCGCACTGTAACAGTATGAAACAGCAGTAATTATTACTCAGTAACAGGTTACCACCATGGTACTATCAATTTTCAAGTTTATGGATTATGGTAAGTTTATTAAATAGTAAATTCCCAAGCAAAACCTGACTTGTGGCAAAGAGAATAAAATAGCATTTCTAAGGTTAATTTGAACACTGTAGTTACTTTTAAAGTTATAGAAATTGCTACTTAATATTCCAGCTTGAATTTCCATATATGGGAGCTCCATCTAACTCTTTTGTCAATATAGTTAAATATTCAAATTTTACCCTATTTTTATCAGGTATTTAGCGGTACTGTTTGTCTGCCCAGAAACCGGCATTTGCTACCTTTCCACCATAGCAATCTACCTGGAATAGTTTTTCATTATTTTGTATCTTGTTTTGACTTCTCTAAACTCTCCACAGTGTTCAATTATAACTCTGACTCAGTACTTCTCCTAAATAATAAGTAATGAGAAAGTCATGTGTTTTGCTTTTCCAAACATGAGGCTGGCTAGCTCCTCCCACCTATTTTAAACATAGAGAAGAATCCACAGGTTTTTAATGTCAGGCAAGCATCACAGTTCAGAAGTTCTTTAGTATCAGAATGTTCCACAAATCATGAAAACAGTACAACACTGGCCTATCTTTGCCAACAAATCCAATATGTATTGCCAAAAGAAAAAGATGCTCACGAGCTGATGTAATTTGTTGAGAAGTTCTAGAAATAGTGACTACATGCCTAAATCCTAATTTCAGAAGTCATCACGTTTGAACCCAGGGCTTCACTCACGCTGGGCAAGCACTCTGCCAATGGACTTACATGCCCAACTCTTGATTATGATACTTATTACTAAGCAAACCCTAAGTAACTAGACCTGAATAGCAACCTGTGATGTAAGTGTGGGAGCTGGGAATGTAGTTCAGCAGTACAGGGTACAGTGACCAATTCCCAGAACTGGGGAAAAAAAAGTCAACATTGCTTTTAGCATGAACTACATATAAGGGGCTCCCCATTTTTGAGATGACACCAACTTTAAAAAAAATTTTTTTATTTTTATTTTATGTGTATGATGTATTGCCTGCATGTACGTAAGTGCACCATGTTGTACAATGCCTGTGGAGGACAGAAGAGGTCGTTGGATCCCCTGGAACTGGAGTTAAAGATAGTTGTTAGCTGTCATGTGGGCGCTGGGATTCAAGCCCAAGTCTTCTGCAAGAACAGCCGTATTCTTAACTGCTGAGCCATCTCTCCAGCACTGAGATGGCATCAACTTTTAAGATAGAGAATTCATAGAGATTATGACTCCATGAAAATTATGTTGACTGTGTGAGAGTTTCCCTTAAGGCAAACACCTGGTAGACCTCACATATATTTGCACTGTAAACAATGAAAACATGTTTCTGATTTAAAGTCATATATAACTCTATACAAAGCTGTTTTCTCTTTGCAAATTATCATTTAAATAACAAATACTCTGACAGACTTTTATTATTATTAAAGAAATATATTCCTTCAATCTGTGAATTTCTGCTTTGTGAGGAATACATATAAAGAACTGTTTCGGAACACAGCAAATTTAGATCTTTATCATTTGTGATTACTTTCTTTTTTTTTTTTGTCTTTTTTGAGACAGGGTCTCCCCGTAGCCCCAGCTGGCCTGGAACTTGCTATGTAACACGCAGAATGTACAGACATTTCAAACTGTGCCAAGAGAAACCATTTCGGAACACAGCAAATTTAGATCTTTATCATTTGTGATATTACTTTCTTTTTTTTTGTCTTTTTTGAGACAGGGTCTCCCCGTAGCCCCAGCTGGCCTGGAACTTGCTATGTAGACCAGGTTGGCCTTGAACTCACAGAGATTTGCCTGCCTCTGCCTCCCAGGTACTGGGATTAAAGTTGTGTGCCACCACACCTGGCTGATATCATTACATTTTAAAATTGGGGATTTAAGTAATTTTAACCACTTAGTAAAGGAAATTCTTTCTCTAACGTTTACGAGTTCTTTGGGATCATGAACACACATCAGTTTTCAAAGTCAAGTGTCTTCTACCTCATTTTGAAACAGAAAACTATACTGAGTTAACACAATTTATCTAATTTATGGCTTCTTGAATTAACATCAGTTCTTTAAGAGAAAAGAATGTCATGTACAGAGCCCTGGTTTGACTCATAGCACCACATAAAAAAGAAAAAGTGAGTTGAGGGCACAAGTAAATTAAAAAATACTACATTTATTATTCATAATTAACTGCAATGAGATGTAAGCCAGTGTATGAATTTAAGACAGAAATAAAGTGTTTTTTCACAAACCTAGTGAACATTACTATGCAATACAGCCAGGTCTTCCTGTCCTCAGGGGATTAGTTCCCAGGGCCCCTGTGAATTGCCACACCCAGGGGTGCTCAGGTTCCATACACAAAAAGCAGTAAAATTTGCATGTAATCTAGGCACATTCTCTTGCCTACGTTATTTATTATACTTAATACAATGTAAATATCATTTAAATAGTTCTTAGACTATGGTGTAAAAGTCTATGCATTTAATACAAACCTAATTTTTTAATTTGGAAATTATCTTTTAAATTTTTATTGAATTTGAGATTTTTATACAATATACTTTGATGGTATTTAGATCTGCTTCCCTATTTGCACCTTCCCTTACAGGCCCCCCACCAAATTCAATGTATTCAATTTTATATATATACATATATGTACACATATATATACGTATACATATAAAATAAAACCTATAAAGTCTAATTTGCGTCCCCAAAGGTTCTTAGTGTAGGCCAATCCACTGGAGCCTGGCTAACCTACCAAGTCTAGAAAGAGACTATCTCTCTCCCTTCCAGTAGCCATCAGTTGCCAAAAATCTATCAGGTTGGGCTTAGATTTCTTAATCAGTTCCTAGTGTCTATGCTGGGATTTTTACCTAGAAAAACCTGTTTTTTATTATTTTTATTTTATGTGTAGGTGTGTATTGCTTGCATATATGTAAGTGCACCCATGTCGTGCAATGCCTGCAGAGGACAGAAGAAGGTGTTAGATCGCCTGGAAATGGAGTTAGGTACAGTTGTTAGCTGCCATGTGGGTGCAAGAAATCTGAACCCAGGTCTTCTGCAAGAACAGCCCGTGCTTGTAACCACTGAGCTATCTCTGCAGTCCTGAAAAACCCAATTTTTAAAAACATTTTCAATTTGAAGTTGATTGCACTTACTGAAACAGAAAGCTGGCTGTATATTGAAATAAACAATGTGTGATACTTTTGATTCATTCCCTACAATATATTTATTTTGTAATATGAACAGAAGTCATTAAGATTAAAGACAGAATATAACAGAATCTTTGGATTTCATTTTTTTGTTTTACAAACTACAATTGGAGATATTTATGAAAGAGTTAAGGACTCACTTGTGTATGAGGAAAACAGAGGATGGAGGGAAAAATACTTGGTGCCAACTGCAGACTGATCTCTTAAGGTGAAGGTGGAAATGGAATCTTAACTAGATCTTAACTGTACTTTGGCCAATCAACTGCTATTTTTGAAGAATTCATAAACCTTAGGCACGAAGTAAACTGGATCAATTTACACATTCATGTGGAATGAATGAAATAAGAACTTGGGTAGGCTTTTTCCTTCTTTTTTTTCAAAATTTAGCCTTGACAAGTCTCCATTACAGTCTTGTATTTCAACCAGTTGAACCTGACTGAGAAAATACTCTTCTTTCCAGTGCCATGAAGTACACTTTGTAGTAACAGTAAAACAAAGAATGACTTTAACAATTCTTACAGAGCAAAGAGGGAAAGCAGTCTACTTAAATGGGTATTAAGTCCTCATTCCTTACTTATTTTTTAAGGAAGAACAGTTTATTAAGTACACTGCAAATGGGCAGTACTGTCTGCAATATGGGGCAAAGGGCTGGGGGGGAGGGTCATCTCCATTTGATAGAAGTACTTTTATAGTTAGGATAACTTTCTTTGTGTGTAGTTTCCTGGCATGTAATCTGTAATTTTTACTATGTGAAAGAAGGTAGTATTCTTTCTTTGTGTGTGTGTGTGCATGCATGGGCGTGTATGTGTATTGACAGATCAGTCCTAGCCTTCCACTTTCTTTGTGATGGGGTCTCTCTTGTTGTTTGCCACAGTATATTCCAGGGTAGCTGGTCCAGGAACATTATGGAGAGTGTCCTGTCTCCACCTCATTACAGACACCTGCACAACTACATCAAGCTTTTACATGTGATCAGGGGATTGTCAGGCTGTGTAGCAAGCACTTTATCCATTGAGCCATCTCCCCAGCAGGCCAGTATTCTTAATAGATGATATGCCTGCCTTAAAAAAAGTGTAAGTTATGTAAAAGAGAGGAATGTAAATTTCTACATATCCTTCAGAGTTCATAGTATAAACATACTTTATTTTCGTAAATAGACTCTCAGGAAATTAGTAATGTTAAAACCTGACAGTATAGATTTTTTTTAAAGCCCCAAATGAAAAACCTAAACAAAACAAAAACCCTGTTACAAAGCACAACCACCACATAAACACTTAAATAAGCACAGGAAAAATCCACAGCAATCAAGATTGACTTCTTGTGTAAGATCAGTACCTTTTCCTGGACAAAGCTGGTGTCCCCCAAGGAGAGGGGAGAGAAGACTCGCTTGTCAGGCAAGGAGGGATCTGTTCTGCACGACTACAGACGACAAAACAGACAGGGGGTTAGAGAGGTTAGAAGAGAACACCGGCTGGCAGCTGGTTAGTTTCACAAGAAATGCCAGTGTAAGTGCAGGAAAGAACACCTTCCATGTTCCTCAGAACAAAGAACACGACCACAACACATGCACTGAATAAAACAGAGAAGAGATGCTCAAAGCAGATGCCGCTTCTACCAATGCTAACACATTATTAAACAAATGCAAGCTAAAACTGAGGGACAGTGACTGAATAAGTAGAAAGGAAAAAGTGTCTATGCAAATTTACATAGCTCATTCCTTTAACACTATATAATCCCATGTTTCCTGTAAATTAAGAGCTAGTTTTCAAGATGAGAAACTATTTTTCTCTCATTATCTGGATATTCAAATCTATTAATAACTAAGAAACATTGTCATGAAGCACGAAACATCTCAGTAGATGTCCAAAAAGTACTTTTAAAGAATATAAAACCTATTAGAAGTTCTGACCACTTGGTCTATTTATGATTGAAATAGAAAAATAACTCATTTATTTTATGAACTAAAATTGGTAACTATTAAAAGTGACAATGCTTAGAACAGATAAATTAGAAATTGACTACTCTTATATTATTTTCCAGGTGGGAATTTAATTGAAAACATAGTCGAGGCAATAAAATAAATGATTTCAAGTAAAGTAGCTCTCCTATGCTCTTCTTTTTTTTTTTGTCTTTTTGAGATAGGGTCTCCCTTGTAGCCCGAGCTGGCCTGGAACTTACTATATAGACCACGCTGGCCTTAAACTCACAGAGATCCACCTGCTTCTACCTCCAAGTTCTGGGATTAAAGGTATGCACCACCACTATGTTCTTCTTTAGAGTCCTGAATTTCCCCACATAAAATTTTAACAGTACACTGTAATTATGTATATGTCTACATTATAAACTAAAGGGTGGCCAGAACCCAGGCAGTGCTATACAGAGCCAAATCCTCAATGCATGAATGCACAGTGACTTGGTGTGCACCAGTTCCATTAAGTACCTGTTTACTCAAGTAATGAGTAAATTATTCTGATGGACTCTTGACCCTGATGGTTCAAGACACCAGTGTCTCCTAGGGAGCTCTATCATTTTTCAGAAATTATGAAACATCAGGCACAACAGGCTATCTACCATGAACCTGGAAATATGTAAAATCACAACCATGTTCTCCAGTTGATAACTAGTATCAATAAGTCCGGATGCAGCTACTGTTTTTTGAGAGTAAAGAGGAAAAAGAGAACAATAAACATCACCATTAAAGGAAACTTCATAGAAACTGCTCCATTAAGTGCAAATACAGCTAACTGAACCTGAATTTACTCATTATGCATGGGCTTCTGCTGCAAACTCAACAACAGGGCAATAGCACGTCCCGAGTAAAGTGATACACCTCAAGTAAATAGGAGAGATTCATTTGTTTTCACTTTCCTTCCAAATAACTTATAATTCGAGTCTTAAAGCTGAAGTTGTGTTGAATGTGGGGAGTGCACCCCACAATTCAGAGGGCAGAGTCAACCCATACCTGTCAAAAGAATCTGTGGCTACTTTGTAGAGATAGATAAAGAGTTTACTGCAGTGCCGCAAAGTGGGTGACACGGAGTCCACTGAGACCACGTCTTCCTCTAACAGTCTTTGGAAAGGCTGTGTGTTTGAGGGGAAGACATTCATGGCGCTTATTTTTCTAAGGTCTGAGAAGCAGCCAAGAAATCGAACAGCATCTGCCAACTTCTCATACTGAATCTCTGTTTTGAAGAAATGAGAGTTGGCTGGTTCATAGCGCAGGGCTGCAGTCAGTGTGCAGAACACAGTGTGGAGAAGCTCAAACACTTGATTCTGGTTCACCTTCTCCCAGCCATTCTTGGGTGGACAGCTCAAAGACCTTTCCATAGCAACGAGCAAGGATGTAATGTACACAAATCCTCCGACTTTCCTAAAAACTGTTCTAGAGCGATGGCTTTCCCGAAGGACTGATAGGAGGGCCTACAAGGGATAAAAGAGAAAAAAAATTCAAATAAAAAAAAAAAAATCAAACCAAAAACTACCATGCATTAATGTCAAAGGCGAACTTCAGTCTGTGAATATCTGATATGGATGGTTTTATCATTTAGCCAATAAACAGTTCTATAAGGCATATCAAATATTTTGCTAAGAAATATGTTACAGACCATATAATTTCAGGTAAGACTATTACACATTTCTTTTGATAGGATAAAATTAGACCCAAATGCTGTCTTTCCTAGGTATTTAGTTGATAATACTACCAATGAATTCAATAATTTAACAGAGTGATTTTATTAAATAAGTAAAATACATAGTCTAAGGTCACAGGATCATAAAAACTTGTGACTTATATGTACATAAACTGGAATATTTTAGGAAGGGATCAGAAAGGTGTGGAAGGGCAGCCAAGATGTGAGATCTTTGCTTCATAAGACATGCCCACATACTCATGTTTAGAGAACTTATTAGATACCCTGTCTTATAAAACGAACTGGAGCCTGAAGACTGAAAGAAGTCCCTTTCCCAAACAGCTTCAAGATCTAAGAAAGAAAACCTAAAGGAAGTAAATCAACCTTTCCTGAACTGCCATACCCTTAGCTTATTATTCATGTTACAACATCATATGTTTAACTGGGCCTTCAATACTCACCAGGCACTAAGTACTTTCATACACTATTTTCCTTTGTTTTAATTTCATTTTTCAAAATTTATTATTACTTTTTAAAAAAATTTTTAGGTGTATGGATATATTGTCTGCATGCATGTAAGTGCACCTATGCTGTGCAATGTCCAAAGAGGTCAGAAGAGGGCATTGAACTGGAATTGGAATTGGAATTAGAACTGTAGTTATGGAAGGTTTTTACCCACCATGTGGGTACTGGGAATCAAAACCAGACCCTCTCCAAGAGCAGTGAGTGCTCTTAACCACTGAGCTCATCCCTATCTCCTTTTTAGAAGATTTATTATTTTTAGAGCTAGAGTCACAGGTAGTATTGAGCCACCTGATGTGGGTGCTGGGATCTGAACTTGGGCCTTTGTTAGTGCTCTTAACTACTAAGCCATCTCTCCAGCACTCACACACTATCTTCTTTAATCATCTGAGCAATGCTATGTGTTAAAATACTATGGGTGAGTGCTTCTTATCAAAATGTTGAAGTCTAGGAGTTTATTGCAATGTTTTCAGATTACGGGCACATATGATGAGATACCTTGAGGATGGGAGACAAATTTAAATAGAAAATTCATTACTGTTTCATATGTGTTTTAAATACACAACCTAGAGGTAATGTAATGGAATATTTTTAACTACATGAAACAAAATTCTACTGTAGGAGATTTTCTACATGGGGCATTATATCAAAGTTCTAAAATTTGGAACTTTTTGAATTTTAGATTTCAAAATAGGGATGTTTACCTGTATTATTTTTTTTAACTTTTTTTAGATTAGGAATTAAGTCCCAACATAGTTTTTAAAAACTGCCAGAGTCTACACTGTATCCAGTGTAGCAAAAGGTAGGATTTAAAGCCAGGCAAGTCTACGTCCCCACAAGCATCTGACCAGGACATTATACTGTCCTGAGTTGCAGTTTGATATCTGCTATCATATGCAGTGTGCTCCTTCCCCTTCTGTCTCAGTACTTGTAACACAGCTGGTGGGTATCTACTAGTACTTAAGACACAATTTATAAGCCCAGCAGTCATCACATTTGAAAAGATCATTTTGTTAAATATCTCACACATTTCTAAGGATATCTGAAGAATGGAAAGGCTATATACATTATATATAATCTTCTTCTAAAAATACACTGCTCCAGAAACTACTGTGTATACAATGCTTTGTTATTTTAAAAGAAAATAAGAAATCTGTATATGTAAATAAAACAGCATTTTCTATTATTTTACAAAGAATTACTCTCCATTTTAATAGTATTTTGTATCAAATTTAATAAGCTGCATTTATACTTATAATTCATATTAAAATAAGACATTTTAATATTTAAAAAAATCCTCAAGTGAGCCTAGAGATTATGTACAAACCATAGAGTCAGAATGCTTGGTTTCTAATCCTGGCTCCAACATTAAAGTGTTTTAACATACCACCTACTTAACCTATCTGTGTCATGGTTTCCAATAAGGTAAAATATAACAACAATAAAACAGAACATAAAAAATACTCTTTAAAATGTCTGGCATATACTGATCACTTCTTTGAAAACACTTTGGCAAACATATAACAAGTACGGTCATGAGAACTTTAACAGGGAAGTGTTAAGAGGAATGAATCTACTGTGTGAACATCATGGAGTGTATTGTTACAAGCCTGGAGATACAGTCTATAGCACACCAAGGTTAGATGTGATGGCCTATTTCAGATTCTAAGCATCTTACTGTGCTGAATACTATAGGTGACTGTCTAAGTATTTGTATATCTGAATATATCCAAACATGGAGCGGTACAATGAAAAAAGTAGGTAACAGGAACTTTCAGCTCCATTAGACTTGTTTATGTGCCTTATTGGTTAATAGAGATGTCTGCACATGGAGTATAACTATTATTTCATAGGTGATAAAGGGTGAGCTCCAAGTTAAGAAACATGTTCAAAGTTCATATAGCTAATTACGGCAGGTTTAGAAAAAAAAATCAGTGCTTATGAATTCTTAGTCTAATAGTCTGTATAATGTATTTCTAGACGTCTATCTTCTAGTTCTTCAAAACTGGTATCTGTTGGAATCATTATAATATAATCAATATTTGAAAACCTTTAAATATCAGAGATAATTTAACTTCTTTCTAATCAATAAATAATGAGTAGCAAACATTAAAGTTACAATAAGATCTGGATACTCATTGGCTAACTAGACAAAATTTTCAGCTACATATCACTTATTTGGCATATATATACATATATATATATATCAGTTTGTTGCATTAGCAGAATTATGAAGAATATATTGTGCTGGATAGCTTTAGTTGTCAACTTGATACACCTGGTAAGAGGGAACTTCAATTGAGGACCTGTCTCCATTGGACTGGCCTGTGGACATTTTCTTGATTACTGAGTGATGTGGGAGGGCCCAGCCCACTGTTGGCAGTGCCACTTCTGAGCAGTTGGCAGTATATTTTATAAGAAAGCAGGCTGAGCACAGGCCAGGGGAGCAAGCTAGTAAGCACCATTCTTCCATGGTCTGTGCTGCAGGTTCCTGCCCTGGCTTCCCCTGATGATGAACTGTAATGTAAGCCAAATAAATCCTTTCCTCCCCAAGTTGGTTTTGGTTACTGTTTTCCCTATAGTAATAAGAAAGAAACTAAGATAGAAATTGGTTCCAGAGAGTGAAATATTGCTGTGATTAACCTGACAATATGTGTCTGGGAGGACTGTGGAAGGCACTGCAACTTTGGGCTTGAAAAGTGCTCAGAGCTTAGTGAGTTGTTGCTTGGCGTAGTTATGTTGAAGAGAAATGTGGATGATGGACGCCTGGCTTGTAACTTTTTAAGGGAAGCAAAGACTCTATCAGGGCTGTTTTTGTGATATATTATGAAATAATTTTTTGAAGTCAAACCTTTTATGTTTTACTGGAATAACTGATATTGGATTGGCTGGGACTGAAAAATCAGCTGTAACAAAACATTAGCATCATTGAGATGAAATCTTCTGGGAAGTATCTCCTCAGGGTAAGCACACAGAAGCTGTGGTGTCAGGGCCTCCTACTTGGTACTGGTTTTTGAAGGCATGAAGGAGTCCTGGAGAGCAGCTGAGACTTGGCACTGTGGGAGGCCAGGAAAGGCTATTGGTGAAGGGGCAGCTTCAGCTGCAGGGAAGATACCTCCCCTCTTCCAGGACTGAAGGGGTCATAGAGAGAATCTCAGGTTTTGTACCCTGAGAGGTCAGAAGAGCCTGTTGGTAAGGTGCAGCCTGTTTCAGCAGAGACCCCAGCATACTGAAGATGCCAGGACCATGGGACGACCACCAAGGTCTGCGGCAGGTGTGGAGTGGAGCCAACTTGAGCTTATGAGACAAACTGCGTTTGCTGTGGATGGCAAAGTCAGAGAGGTAGAGCTGCTCTAGCCCACTGGAGCCCAGAAAACTGTGAGTGAACCCGAAATGTCTGGCTTTGAGCTACTTTGCTGACTGGTTTTTCTTAACTGTGATGAATTTGTCGCTTTTGAAATAAGACAATACTTAACTTGCTGTGGGACTTTTAAAGTTGTACTGTTTTAAGTTGTGGTATTAACATACCTTGGGGTCAAGAAATGGAACGACTGGTTTAATAGCAGTGTGTTTGTGTATCAAGTTGACAAGGAGTCAATTGTGCTGGATAGCTTTAGTTGTCAATTTGACATACCTGGTTAGAGGGAACCTCAATTGAGAAATTATCTTGATTGGATTGGCCTATAGCCATGTCTGTGAGCTATTTTCTTGATAAGAGATGTGGGAGGGCCCAGTCCACTGTGGGCGATGCCACCCCAGTCAGGTGGTCCTGTGTTGTATAAGAAAGCACGCTGAGCACAGGCCAGGGGAGCAAGCCAGTAAGCACTGTTCTTTCATTTTCTGTGCTCGGGGTTCCAGCCCTGAGTTCCTGCTGTGGCTTCCCTTGATGAGGGACTGTGCTGTAAGCCAAATATACCGTTTCCTGCTCAAACTGATTTCGGTCAGTATTTTCATCACAGCAAAGGAAAGAAGCTAAGACACATTTCAGATTTGCATATGAATGCAAAGTAAATTGCAGAGGCCTGTGCTGTGGAATCCCTAAATAAAGACTCTGGAAGGCTGCTGTGAATGTAGCAGCAAATGGAAATTTAAGATCCCACATTCTCTCCCCACTGCTCTGCAGGACTGAAATTCCCGGCTGGAAAACACGCTTTACACTCTTCCATTCCCTAACCAGCTTTAGCAACAAGTGAGGATTTCTAGATAATCAATTGTTACTGTGATACGAATATAAATGGTTTTTATTACTTTTTGACTGTAAATAAGAACTGTTCTGTTTAATCTGTTTCCTTGGATTTACTTACTTCCTCATTTATTTATTTTACTTACATTCTTTGCTCTCTCCTTACTTTTTGCTTTCTCTGTCTCAGCTCTAGAATTGACCATTTCTCTAGGAAATTCTGGTTCCTCGTAATGGAAATGGTATTTAGAAATCATGGGGTTAATAAATAAATGAAAACGTGAATTTTAATAGACTTCTCAAACACACTCAGATGCTATTTAAATGTAAAGAGAACTTTTTACCCAAAAAAGATTAGGTCTCATTTGATTAAAACCGTTATATCACAGAAGCTAAAAGTACAATTCTGTGGAGGGACTACCTACTTCTGGTCTTGGCTCCTATGCCTACAGGACACATACTTGCACAAATTGTTGAACTAAACCGTGCATCAGCTTACAATTAATAAAACACAGGAATGGAGCTCAGCAGTAGAGTATTTGCCTGAGGAACTGGGTTTGATCCCCAGCACTTCAAGAAAATAAATTTAAATACATAAAAATAATGAAACAGACACTAACAGCATCTGTCTTCACTAAGAAGCTAACCCAAATAGGTGACTGAATGCACAGAACACTTAGACACGAGAAATAGTGCTAGTAGCTATTGCTATAATTACAATGTCTTTAGGAATTGAGGAAAATGCTTTCGATGTCCACTTAATATTCTTTTCTTACCCATTATACCTGTTTGCACCACTAAATTCACATGTAAAGTGAAAGTGGAATAGTTAACATAGTTAATAGCTTCTTCTAACAGTTTCTTACATGGAAATGCTGATGACTACAGTGATTTGAAAAAAAACATGTGTATTAATCTGCATGAAGCATGTTGGCGATGTGCAAAGAATGTGGGTCCTGAGACCTTGAATGTGGAAACAGTCAAGTTATATGATCTTTCTCATTTTCGGAACAGAGTGCTAATTACTTTGTAGGATTGCTAAGGAGTGAAATGAAAAAAAGTATACATAAAGCTGGGTGTGGTGATACACACCTTTAATCCCAGCACTTAGCAGGGAGAGGCAGGCAGATCTCTGAGTTTGAGGATAGCCTAGTCTATATAGTGAGTTCCAGGCCAGCCAGAGTTACATACTGAAACCCTGCCCTTAAAAAAAAGTGCTGGGCCTGGTGGCTCATGCCTTTAATCTCAGCAATCCAGAGGTAGAGGCAGGTAGATATTTGTGAGATCAAGGCCAACCTGGTCTACAAAGTAAATTCCAGGCCAGGCCAGGCCAGCTGGGGCTACAAAAGTACACATTAAGCTTGAAGTAGAAGTATATTGATGGATATTTCTAAAATATGTTATACAAGCATATATAAGTACAGTATCATATATAACATTTTATTTCACATGTCTAACACTGAGTAACTGACATTGAATATACTATCTGTATTTACTATTTATTAAGATGTTGCACTTGCTATTATACTTTCTAATTTCAGAGGATTCTAAGCCAGGCAAACTGTGCAAAAGATCATCAGCAGTAAGATCATGAACACTGACAGACATGAATCATGGAACACTTCCAAATCTCCAACGTGTATAAATTATGGAGGTTTCGTTATTTTTAAAAAATTCTGATTTATTTTTATGTGTGTGAGTGTTTTGCTTACATGTATGTAAGTACCCTCATGGTGTGTAAAGTCCGTGGAGGTCAGAAGGGGGTGTTGGATCCCCTGAATCTGGAGATTTCAACCGCCATGAGGGTGCTGAGAACCTTACCTGGGTCCTCTACAAGAGCAGACAGTGCTCTCACCCAGTGAGCCATCTCTTCAGCCTCCAGGTTTTATTATTTTGAATTTAAAAATTTCCCTATTGGTGAGTTGGAGAGATGGTTCATCGGGTAAGAGCATGTACTGCTCTTGCAAAGGATCTGAGTTCAATTTCTAGCACCCATGCTGGGTAGCTCACAAGCACCTTTAACTGCAGCTCTAGGAGATCAGATAGATACCTCTGGTAGCCATGGACACCTGCACACATGTGCACATACCCACACACAGACAAACTCATATAATTCAAAAAAATTCTTAAAAAAATATCCTTCATGGGTTACTCCAATTGTCTCACCCTGAGTCTCTGTTCAGCATGGAAGAAGCCAGAGCAATCTACGTCCCAATTCCCTATTGGCAATTTACCCCTTCAGAGGATGGTGTGATAAGAATAGGAGGTAAGAATTGGCTAGGCAGTTAGGGTAAAAAGACCCCAAAGAAAAGCAGCCAGTTTCTTGTCTAAAACTCACAATGTCCTTGGGCCTCTTAGCAACATACTCCATTCCAAAGGCCAAAAATGTCGAAAATATTTGGGAGCTTTTATCGAATCCTTAAAAGATTTTAGGGTTACCTCTTCAGAGGGGGTAATGTTAGAGTAGCCAAAAGACCCATCTAAAAAAAAAAATCAAAGAAGAAGAAAGAGTACATGAAGTTATCAGAAAAAAAGTGATGGGAAGATATGGGAGGAGTTGGAGGGGACGGAGTGGGCATGGTTGATCAAAACACCTTATATGCATGTATGAAATTATCAATAAATTACTTATTAAAAAAAATCCTTCATGACTACCTGGAAACAGAGTCTTACAGGCTCCTGGGACCTTGTTCATATGAATCTACAGCAATGGTGTTAGCATGCACAAGACCCATGTAAACTCAAACAGACAAAAACCCAGCATAGAACTGGGAAATGGGTAGCAGGCCCTAACCTTAGTCAAAGAACTATTGGCACTGATTAATGCTAGGTAAGCGACAGCTGATCTGTAAGGGAGAGACTCTTGATAGGCTGACTAGACCCAGGGGATGAACCTGCACTGCAGGACATCTGGGTAAACTAACTTGACTTAATAGGCCTAAATGTATACGGCAGAATACATGAAATCCTGTGGGGGTGCTACAGGAGAGTGCACATGGAGTATAAAGATGATTATGATGTTTTGTATGAAATACACAAAAATTCAACAACAAAAAAATATTTTTTTGGTCTTTTTGAGACAGGGTCTCTCTGTAGCACCAGCTGGCCGGAACTCACTATGTAAACCAGGCTAGCCTTGAATTCAGAGATCCGCCTGCCTCCACCTCCCAAGTGCTGGGATTAAAGGCATGTTAAATTCCTTGTAACTAGTACAAATAATTTTAAGATAACTATAGATTTTAATAGCAACAAAATATACATTTACTAAACTTACCCTTAAGATGTCAGTTTTCAACTGCAGTTCTGTGGGCGGGGCTGAGTGCATCAACCCCAGGAGAGTGCCCATGTCGTCATCCCCATTTGGAGAGAGCACCAGCTGCTGGATGGTCATCAGGGCATGCTGCCGGCACTGGGGGTACTTCACTATATTGTGTGCACATCTTGCACCTCCAAACTCTCGGAATATTCCTTCAGGAGGGAGTGAAAGCACAGCACGGGATAACTTAGTACATTTTGAGCAAGTTGGATGAATCAAAATTCAACTGCTTTTGTAGGGACAGTGAGTCAAACAAATACATGTAAAACCTACCTACCTGTTTTGCTTCCTTAGAACACAATGCAAAAACTACACTATGGGATACCATAAACTGTAAATGCACGTTTCTCCTACATTTCTTAATGCAAGGTTAATGCCCCGACATAATGCCCCAACGAAATTCTCCATTTCTAGAGCATTTGGAAATTTTATAGGTGGATACCAGGAGACCTCGCGATGTACAAAACAGGTTTTTGGATGAACAATATCCCAAATAAATGAGATTTAAACTGAACAAGACTTTCAAAGTAGTAGCAGTAAAAGAATGGAAAATTATAAGGTAATTCATGGGAAAACTATAAACAAATAAGGTAAATCACAAGAAAATCAGACAAACTTTATAACAGAAAACATTAGTCACTGCACTACTTTAAATAAAGCCTTTGCCATTTATTTGCCCCTCATCCCCTACCTTGAAGTCTGAAGTCACAGCTAGTAAGTGACAGAGTAGAATTTATGTCCACACAGCCAGCTCTGTCTGTGTTCCTACTCAATGTTGGTACCATTCTCATCTGAAATGTAACTCCCCAACCCCTAAAAACTGAACCAAATCGTATAAATCACTACTCAGTATTTGGTCCAAGCAATCCTTATACTCTTCATTTCCACAAAATATCTTGCATTTACCTCCATTATAATTTTATAAATCTTATTCATATATTTGATCTTCCACAAAACTTGGGTTTTCTCCTGATTGAAGTTTCAATGAAAAACTGTCAAGTAAATAAGAGTGTATTTTACTTTGGTAGCCACAGTCCTCTCTCAACTTAGTGCTTTTCTATTTGCTAACCTGATAGGAGTAACAGGATCTTGGAGTGAATGTTAAACTACGTGTTTAAGAGAGAACCTATGGCTGGTGTGGTGGCACACTTGCAATCCAACACTTGTGAGCTGGAGGCAGGGAAAATACAAAGCCAAATGAGCTACATAACAAGACCTTGTCTTAAAAAATTTTTTTAGCACATGGAATCGTGACACCCTTGATTGTATGTAAATACCTTCTACGGGCACAGCACTGTTTTAAGTGCCTCAGGTCACACAATAAGTAATGTCGTCCTTAACAAAGAAGACAGATATGAAAAAAGCAGGTGAAGTGTCTGCACCCCAGAGCTGTGCTCAAAGAGTGGCAGCAAGCTCTCCACTCTTCTCCAACAGAATGGCAGATCCTTGCTTGTGCAGTCAACATAACACCACAAAAATGCAAATCTGACAAATTCTTGTTTCCCATTCTTTATTACGTTTATATCTCGGTCAACTAAATCTAGTTAGTGGAAAAAGAGGATTATGCATTATGCAATAGACAAACCATTTCTACAGCGCCTATTAAACTCCATCACACTTGTCTTTCAATTACCAATTACCTGCTAAATTCATTCAGCTCTGCCCTGGCGCTTGCCAAAACTTGTATTTAAATAATTACTTATATAATTATGTGTTTACATCTTTCTCAGTTAGACTATAATTCTCCAGGGGCAAGAATTATCTTTGCATCTCTAAAACTTCACATAGTGGTGGGATATGGCATATTTAAATATCCCGAAGGTGGTATTTCTCTGCACTCCAGCTGTCATGAATTTTGCATGAGATTCATTCAGGCATTCTTCTGATCATTCATCCATGGCTTCCTCCAACACAGCTCAACCCCAGCTCCTCATCACATCCTAAAAAGGTCCCTGTGATCTGAGCCTGGCCGACTCCAGAATTCAGCTCCTCGCATCTAGCCCTTTAGCTGCATTGACCCTACTACCTCAGTTTTCTGATGCTGACAAAACTTTGATCTTTATTTTTTACATTTTTTATATTTTATAAATATAGTTGGACTCTGTTAATAGATACAGAAAAGGATGAAGAGGAATTGAGACCAAAGAGGAAGAAAAATATTTAATAAAATATTTTACTCAAGAAAGATTGTTTTACTAGATAATCAACTTTTCTATATTTCTCTAAGATTATAACAGTAGACTATTAGACTATTCTAACTTGTAATACTAAAAAAATTAAGAAAATATTATATGAAGAAAGATTTTAGAAAAAAATTTTTAAAAGGAAATTTTTTGAGTAGGGGTATGCAATGTAACTTTGAAAACTACAAAAAGACCAGGCACAAAGAACACTATCAAAAGCAATACAAATGCTGGGCGGCACAGTGGCACATGCCTTTGATCCCAGTTCAAGGCTAGCCTGGTCTAAATAGTGATACCCTGTCTCAGTGAAAGCCAAAATTATTTTGTCAGGAAGGTGGTTTTAACAGGGTAAGTATGGAACTCTTAGAGACGTGAGTGAACATCACTGACTCAACTGTCCTTAAGTGACAGAAGATGTCAGGAGCAAGAATTCCTAGAGAAGACGGGGAGGCCGCCTCCCTAAGCGTCTACTTGTGGTTTTCCTGATTACCTGCATTTGTGTTTGATCCTTGAAGAAGCACTGTCAAGGCCTCCATAACCAACAGAGCCAGGTGTTTTTGGTCTTCAACTAAACTGTTATTTCTTGAGTCCCCTAGAAAACAGTTTCAAAGATTCAGATCACAAAAGCAAGAAGATTATTGTTTGAGTCAGTTTTACCTGAATAATTCCCATTATCACTTCTTTAATATTCACTTTCATCATTAATACAACTGCTAGTCACAAAACCTTTAAAAATTATACATGTGTTGAGCACCTCCCAAAAATAAGCTGAAAAAAAAATCAGTGTTTACAGACTTTTTGTTTTGGTGTGGGAGAAGTTGGTTATCTAATAAATATTAAAAATGAAAATGTCAGGGTTTGGAGAGATGGCTCAGTGGTTAAGAACACTGAATGTTCTTGCAGAAGACCCGGGTTCGAATCCCAACACCCCAATGGCAGTTAACAACTGTCCGTAACTCCAGTTCCAGGGGATCTGACAGCCTCTGCTGTCTTCTGTGGGCATTGCACGACACTGGTGCACTTACCTACATGCAGGTAATACATACATACATATAAAAAATAAAATTTAAATTAAAAAAAATGAAAATGTTAAAGTTAAATATATCCCTCTCATGGGGGTTCTAATCAATGAGGCCAACAGGTTAATTATCACACAGCAAAAAGAAGTTTATAAAATAGAGTGTCATCTAGTCAACTTGTATTTACTCAAGTTTCAAACTTATTGCCAGATACTTATCAAAAATGCATCTAATGATATGTTTAAGAAACATCACTAAATACGCACATTTGTTCTCTATAATAATTATGAGACTATTTTGAGGTATAAACACATTTACTAATTAATTATAACTTAAATTATTTTCAGAAATTTAAAAAATTCTTTAAGTAATAAATGAGTCATGAGGATTATACATATTTTTCCTCATTTTCCTTTACTTTTAACTCTTTTCCAGTACTGTGACATCATATTCTAGGCTCCCCTTACCCAATTTACTAATAGGCTGAATGAAGAAAAGGTTAATTTTGGGAAATACTCACTAGACTGTCACAGTCATAGACAACAGGAAATCATTCAAATCAGCAACAAATGAAAGGCAGAACAGGAACAAGTCATCTCCCTGACCCCCTTTCCCAAACAGAGCATCCATGGGGGAAGTGCTTTACCTTGCTCATTCAGTGCCTGAGTTGGATCCTTCAGGAGGGCAGCATATTTATGCAAAAGGTTTACCATGACCTCCAGAAGGCCCACCTCTCTGAAGACATCTTTAAATATGTAGTCATGTCTTGTAAACTTAAGAAGGGTTTTCATTGCAATAATGCTACAGTGGTAAGAAGAGCTAGATTTTAACAGGATACTAACACTAATGAGCTCTTTACAGGGAATATAATTTAAGCTAAAAACAACAAACTCCAGCATCTCAAAGTATTTGTTTTGTACTTCTGGGAGTTTAGAGATCTTCTCTGCGAACTGTGACAGGGTGTGCTGTGACTCTAGGATGAAGTAATTGGCATTGTCAGCCATGTAAATATTTGTGATGGCATCGAGGATGATTTGGGCAAGGAAGCCGGTTTTTGCTTTTAAAAATGCATTCTGAAGGACTGCAAAGGCCTGGATGTTTCTCACACTGTGACCTAAAATAGAAAAGAAGAACATGAGAGTGGGTGCTATGTGACATTTTAATCATGGAAAAGATTCTGTGTAAACAAATCATGAATTTCAAAATTTATCAAATATTTACAGAGAATACATCCTGTTTTCATGGAAGTTCTTAATTTCTTCATCAGAGTCAAATCATTTAATTAAAAATAAGTAAAACCAATTAAATCTTTAATGCGTCATTATATTTTAAGGATAGGATATTTGAAAACGTAGACCGCTGAGAGCAAATGAAGGTGTATCATACGCATTCAGGCTTCTGACTTTGGAAATAGGCAAACTATCTGCAAGAGGGATTGTGACTGTAAGAACAGTCTCTCAGGGCTGGAGATACAGCTCTGCAGTTAAGAGTACTCGCTGCTCTTCCAGAGGACCTGGGTTTGATTTCCAGCATGCACATCATGATGGCTAACAACTGCCTGTAACTCCAGTCCAACTGGATTTGATGCTTTCTTCTGGCCTCCACGGGCATGCATTACATGCACCCAAAACACTCATACACAAAATTAAAAAAAAAAGGTCACCTCCCGATGAGAAAAGACATGTTGTAAAAGCAAGAGATCCTAGAGCAGCAAGAATTAAAGCAGTAAACTGGGGAAAATACTCTACTTTCAAATTTCCCTTTGCAATTACAACATGGTGATTTTCATAAATTTTAATTTGGAAATTTGCTTTGTTTTCAAGAAGAAACAGAAACTTCTTTACATAAACAATTTTTTAAATTATGGCCCGCTACTAGTGAACATTTTAAATTTTTGATTTTCAAACACATCAAATGAAAAAACAAAATATTTCCATGTAGTTCTTGTGAAAAAAAAAGAAAGATAATAGAAATTAATACAGAAACGATATTTGAAGTACATTAAAAACAGGTATTTTCTTATAAAAATTGTTCCCAGGTCCACAACTACTAGTAATATATAGTATTTACAAACATGACAAAAAAATTAACATTGATCTTTATAGAATAAACTAGATTTGAGAAAAATAGTAAAATGTAAACTAGTAATACTGTACAATGGGTTTGAAAGATGACTCAGAAATACTAGTCACCAGAGGCATTTCTGAAAAATAAATTTCTGGAGTCCATACATTATTTCAGTTTTCATTTATCACATAAAAATTTATCCCTGGATGGCAAATACCAAGCACCTTCATACTCAAGTTCATATTAATAGTTGTGCACTCTCGAGGACATACAAAGTTTTTATTATATGTAAGTAACCAAAACTCAAACTTAGATAGACTGCTAGAATAAAAATGTAAAAGCCTGACTGCATGTGAGAAAAAGCATAGAATTAGGTTAAATTTTAACTCTAGCTAATGTTGTACGTCTAAATGACAGTACAATGATAGTACAATGATAGTACTAATATGTGATATTATTAGTTCCAAAGAAAAGATTAAGATGGAGTCTCATCACTAGTTATTTCCCAGAGGACTAAGGATGTTGAACACTATTTCAAATATTTATTGCCCATTTGTATTTCTTTGAGAACTGACTATGCAATAGCCCATTTATTTATTCCACCTGACCCTTGTCAGAATTGCTATCATCAGGACAATATATGGCAACAAATGCTGATGAGGTTGTGGGGAAAGAGGAACCTTGATACCACTGGTGGAAATGCTAACTGATGTAGACACTACGGAAATCAGTTTAGACTCTACAAGTGTTTCCTCAAAACACTAAGAATAGAACTACCATATGATCCAGATCCTCCTGGGTACATACCCAAAGAACTCTAAGTCAGAATACCACAGACAGATTTGCAAATCCATGCTTAGTGCTGCACAATTCATAATAGCTAAGATATGGAACCAGCCTAGATGCCCATCAATAGATGAAGAGATAAAGTGTGGTACATATACACAAAGGAATTTCATTCAGCCATAAGGAAGAATGAAATTATGACATTTGTAGTAAAATGGGTGGAACTGGGGGGATCATTATGTTAAGTGAAATAAGTCAAACTCAGGAAGATAAATATACTGTCTCATTTGTAGAGTCTAAATTCAAATTTATAGGGAAGCATATATTTATAAGAGAGGGAGATATATATATATATATAAATACTATATATATATATATATAGAGAGAGAGAGAGAGAGTCATAAGAGGAGAGGAAGAAGCTGGGCGTGGCACTCAGGAGGCAGGCATAGGTGGATCTCTGAATTCAAGGCCACCCTGGTCTATATAGTGAGTTTCAGGACAGCTGGGGCTATAGGGAGACCCTGTCTCAAAAAAACAAAAAAAGAGGAGAGGAAGAATTTAAAGGGAGGAAAAGAGAACAAGGGAGGATAATGAAATATATGTGGCACAAAAGCAGAAGGCAAAGGAGTGGGTAGGCTAGGGCAGTGTAGGGTCAATTAAGACCAAAGTATAGTGTTATACAATGCATGAAAATGTCATAATGAAATCAAATATTTTGCATGCTAACCTAAAGAAAGTAAGGTTTTTTTATTTTTATTTTATTTCATTGGTCTTTTTGAGACAGGGTCTCCCTGTAGCCCCAGCTGTCCTGGAACTCACTATGTAGAACAGGCTAGCCTTGAACTCACAGAGATCTGCCTGCCTCTGCCTCCCGAGTGCTGGGATTAAAGGCGTGCTACACCACGCCCAGCTAGGAAGTAAGTTTTTTAAAGACATTAGAAGAGAGTTGGGTGTGGTGGCACACATCTTTAATCTCAGCACTTGGGAAGGAAAGGTTAAGTACATCTCTATGAGTCTGAGGTCAGCCTGGCCTAGAAAATCAGTTTCAGGTCAGTTGAGGTGACACAGAAAGACCCTATCTCTAAATTAATAACTACATTGATAGATGGATGATAGATAGATGATAGATAGATAGGTAGGTAGATAGACAGACAGACAGACAGACAGATGATAGATTAGAAGAGTGGAATTTAGGGACTGGCCAGATGGCTCAGTGGGTTAATGTGCTTGCTGCTAAGTCTGATGAACTCAGGTTTGAGTCCCAGGACTCACATGGTGGAAGGAAAGAACCAATTCCCAGAGATTGTCCTCTGACCTCCACCCACATGCTGTGGCATACACATATCCCCTCCAACATACTAAATAAATGTAACTTAAAATAATTTTTTAAAGGAGAGGAATTTAGGGCAATATGGAAAAATTCAGATTTTCTGAAGTTTGGTTTCAAATGATGTCACACACAAAATATAAGGAAAAATAACCACCACCTACAAAGACAAATTACCCACCACAAAAAGAGCCTAGTTGTAAAACAGTATGTACAAAGAACAATTAAAGTCACATGTAAAATATGGCCACCTTCACAGAACCTTTAGCACAGTTGTCAGCAGGGTATCTGGCCCACTAGTCTTAGAGTGATGAATTTGCTATGCTCCACCTTTCATCCTACTTGTTACCCAATTCCTCTAGGGGCCATGATTAGTGAAAACAGATTGATCATAGTAAGTGATCAAGGAACACTAAGCCTAACTGATCTCTATGACAGCTTTCAAGAACAGGAGTGGGTCAGCTCCACTATGAAGTGGTATGAAGCCAGATGACTGTTTCCTCTTTAAGGGTAAGGGATGCTTTAGGTTTTTTTCTTTGGAGAAATCTCCTTGGTGCTAAAGAAACAAACTTTTATACAAGCTCCTGCTGTACAACATAGAAGTAATAACCCATAACGTACATATTCAAACAAGAAGGCCCACAAATAATAATTAAGCTCACTTTTTCTTCGAAATTTTATAATTCTACACTGCTTTACTTGCCCTAAAGCAACCAGTGGATAAACTATATCTATGTCTATAGTAGCATAAGTTATACAAATGTCCTTAATACCACTGGTGGACAGAACTTAATATACACAAATTATACCTCAGTACTGCTGACAACAGTAACAACAAAGCCACAAAATACTCCCATGTTCTACCTACAAAGAACAGCTGTCTCCTTCGGGTACTAAACTCTCCCTAAAAAATAGCCATGCAAAACTCACAAATTTAAGTTATACAGGTAACTCAAAATGATGTGTAGCTTGACTCTTTACAGACTATTACATCAAGTTTTAAAAGTTAGGGTACTCATGATCACATGAATTCTAACACTTAAGACAGCATCCTTTCTAGTTAACCTTGCCTTCCTTAGACATATGTCACTGGATTCCCAGAATAATACTGGGATGTGCAAAGTTATATAATTATGTGCTCTGTTACTGATTAGACATCAAACTAAGTATGCAAAAGATTAATTTTTTTGCATTATATCTGTTATAAAATTATATTGTTATAATTAATTTCATTTCAATATCAAGATCAGATTGACTAACCAAATGAAACAATGAAAAATGAAACAGGAAGTATATTGCTGAGCTAACTTTAGTTTTTTTATTTAAAAAATTGGTATCTCCCTGACCCCCGTGTGGATGCATGTGCCACGTTGTGTGTGTGAAGGTCAGAGGACAACTTTGTAGAGTAGGTTCTCTCCTTCACCTTTGAATGGATCCTGGGGTTCAAACTCAGGTCAACAGACTTGCATATGAAACATTTTTTACCCACAGAGCCATCTCATTGGCCCCTACTGAGCTATTTTTATATCAACTCATAGAAAATTCATTGGCATATTTAAGTTGGAGTCTATAAATCAGGTTTTTGATCAATTTCTATGTTTTCCATAATATAAAATAAAATGAAACCTTGAATGTATGATAAGTTTATTTCAGACTCATTAAGCTGTGTACTGAATGTATAGCATATCACAGTGAGTGATTTTGATTAGAGAAGCTTTGATATCACAAAATGAGCAATTTGTACAGTGAAACTTAAATAACTAGTTGTTAAATTTTTATATGGGAATATCATGATCCTATTGAAGATTTAGTAACTGTCACATATGGAAAGACTATATTAGAGGCCTCCAAATTCAAATTCTTTTGGAATGCTTTTAATGATACATTAAAACAAGTTTAAATGTAGTGTGTATTGTTATGTAATTAGGTGGCTGTTTTGTTTGTTTTTATGAGACATGGTCTATAACCCAAGCTGTCCTCAAACTCACTTTGCAGCTGAGGCTATGATGAATTCCTAATCCTTCTGTCCCCACCTCCCAGTGCCGGGATTATAGATGTGTGCTACCACGCTCAGCTCATAATCAGATGTTCTTAACTATGGAATACATTTTTTCTAAGTAAAAATCACTAGGTGAGAATCTAAATGTTAGAAAAAACTGGATTATGTGACAGGTGTGGTGGCGCATACTTTTAATCCCAGATCTTGGGAGGCAGAGGCAGGCAGATCTCTGTGAGTTCCAGGCCAGCTGGAGCTACAGGGAGACCCTGACTCAAAAAAGACAACAAAAAAAAACAAAAACAAAACAAAAAAAAATGGATTATGACTTCCTCTCTGAACTAGATGGAATAATGTAACCTCTTTTTCTCAGGTTTGCTTTGCTTTAAATGAAATCCAAGCATCCGTACCTCATGCCTGCCGTAAGTACCTAGTACTCCTACGTAGCAGCTACCGAGACTATAGCGTGTACTAACTCCCACCCACAGACAGAGGAAATGCACAAAACGCTAATTCAAAAGAAGTAGATCCAGATGATGAAACTGTTAAAATGAATGATTATAAGATAAATCTTGTTGGGTGCATGCCTTTCATCCTAACACTCAGGAGGCATGGGCAGGCAGATCTTTGAGTTTGGTGTTGTTAGTCTGCTCTACAAAGCTAATTCCAGGCCAATCAGGACTACATAGTAAGACTCTGTCTTTAAAACAAACAAAAACCAAAAAGTGTACATATGTGTGTGTGTGTGTGTGTGTGTGTGTATATATATATATGACTTTACATTTTTAGAATATTATTTTCAAGTATCTTATCTGCTAGACTGAAGACCCAGGAAATTCTTCTGTAGACTTAACTGCAGACAGCAAAACCTTTCATGCAAAATAGCACATTAATTTTACACATGCAAGATCAACAAGAAGCAAGGAAAAGAAGACAAATTCACCTTTCTCCACTGAAAAGCTTCGAACAAGGAGGGGGCGGGCAGAACTTACCTTTCCCTGCAGGCTGAGGTACTGCAAATCCAGGCAATAAAAAGGGTGCCCCTGTGGTAACACCAGCTGGCTTCAGTTCATTAACACCATATGTTGTCAGGGAAGTTATCAGATTCACCAGATCTTTCAAGGCATCTTTGGATTCTGCTTCTTTAGCTTGTTCCAATCTAGAAAAGGTATGATTTAGCAATTTTTCTCCTCTTTGGTTATATATTCTTAGATTTAATACAGAAATTACTTTGCAATTTCAAATGCAATAAATAAATGTATAATCTACTCACAGAAGTTTCTTAGAATTTTTCTTATTTAAAATAAGTATTTTCTAGCAATTTAAACATTTTGTTAAAAAACACTATAGTGTATTTCAAAGAGAAGCAGATCAATAAAAAGTATATGTCCTAATCTGGTCCTATAGTGTTATTCTGAGAAAACTACTAGCTGGCACAAAGATGTTTTTGTTTTGTATTGATACAGGGTCTTGCTGCACACTGGCCTGGAACTCATAGCAATCCTCCTGCCTTAGTTCACTCTTTCCTAACTCATTTTCTCTGTAAACAATATTTAAAAATGAACTTTACAGGATGAGCTCTAAGAACTGTCTATGCTTTGCATTAATTTGCTGAACTAATACTCTGAGGCAAAGCTCTAAGCATCTGAAACCATTCTCTAAAATGATCTGCATTCCTTCTGAAAGAAGCCTATCTTGTTTGCTTTGTTTGTTTTTTTGAGACAGGGTCTCCCTGTAGCCCCAGCTGGCCTGGATTTCACTATGTAGACCAGGCTGGCCTTGATCCCACAGAGCTCTGCCTGCCTCTGCCTCCTGAGTGCTAGGGCTAAAGGTGTGTACCACCACACCCAACCGAATTAACTTATGATAATGGCCTTAGTGAGAAAACAAAATGCTTAAAAGAACTGTATTTCTTAAAGAATAAGATTTATGGGGCTGGACAGATGGCTAGCGGTTAAGAACACTGACTGTTCTTGCAGAAAACCCGGGTTTGAATCCCAGCACCCACATGGCAGCTAACAACCGTCTGTAACACCATTCCCAGGGGACCCAACAGCCTCTTCTGACCTCCAGGGGCATTGCACGACATGGGTGCACTTACCTACATGCAGGCAATATATGCATACACATAAAATAAAAATAATAAAATATTTTTTAAAAATTTTTTTAAAAAGAATAAGATTTACTAGGGCTTCCCTTTAATAGAAATTAACAATTATTATCAAAATAAACTTGGCAAATGCACAAAACTACAAAAGGAGAAGTCTGCTCAGCATCACAGCTCAGACCAGCTTCAATACTCCAATGTGTTTTCAATTTGTTTGAGAATTCCATGTGTGTAAATGTATTTTGATGAAATCTTCCCCCTACCTTCTCCCCTCCAACTCCTCTCACCTGCCCCAATCACTTTTCCCTCCCAATTTCATGTATTCCTCCTTCCATCACCGCTCAGCTGTCAGTGTACGCATGGGTACAGCGCCACTGACTGGATCATAAGTTCTGTGTAACTTTAACTGTTTTCAATCTGGTTAGTCTTTATGTTATTTGTTGTCATACCACATTCACAATTTTGCAGCCTCTTTTTCTTTCCATTTTCCAGTGCTATACACGTCATTCTCCACATTAATGTCTGATCTCTACAGACATGCTGCTGCTGCCGTTCAGAGACAATTATGGCTCTGGCAAGGAGAAGCTGGAACAGCTACCAAATGCAAGCTCACTAATACACTCTGAAGTATGCGATTATACTCCCCACATTAGCATCATATTGGTTCATGAAGATGAAAGTATGTGTCAAGAGTCTTAAGGTTTGAGGGTCCAGTACCTTATCAACCTCTCAAGGGAATGCAGCAATTACCCACCCCTTCAGAAGTGATGGAGGGAACTATTTAATCAGCATTCATGCCTGCTCTGACAGATGGGGACCATATATATAGAAGTATTTTCTTGGGGGTTACTGAACATTAACAGGAAGTAGGATAAACTGCTGTTGTGCTGTCTTGTAATAGAGCAAATGTTTTAAAAATAATGAGTGTCCAAGGACCATAGTGGGGGTGACTCTATTCTTTTCCTAGAAAATTTATAAACAATCACTTCCTACTATGTATATACATGTACTGTTGGGGATGAAAGAGGAGATTAAGTGAAACATTTAGCAGTGACTAATTTGTTTTATATATACACTTGTAAGGTCTAATTCAATCGACATAATTGTGAGTGCCATTAACGTCATTAATAAAAATAACCAGAACTACTTGAGGAAAACCAAAAATAGAATTGAGCAATAAGAATTTATACTTAAGAGCTGGGCATGGCAAATGTCCATCTTTAATCTTTAATTCCAGCACTTGGAAGGCAGAGGCAAGCAGACCTCTGTGAGACCCAAGCTAGCCTGTTCTACATAGGCCAGCTGGAGATACAAGGAGACCCTGTTTTAAAAAAAAAAACTAGCTCTCCTAGTCCCTCCTGTCACAGTTGCTAGAAAACAGCAGCATTATCCTTCATGTCTGAGTTCATGTTTGTGATCTGCATTTGACAATTTTATTTGAAATGTACTTTTCATGCTCTGTGAGACAGGAAAGGAGTAAAGCCAAGAAGACATCCAAGAATATATTAAATAGACATTTCTTTGATTTCTTCCTATTAGCCTGTTTCCACTGCTGAAAAAACTCAAAACAAAAATCACCTGACATTTAAAATATATTCTTAAATTGTGGGGTTTACCTAAGCAAGAGATCACAAAGAAAATTATATCCTTGCCATATCCGGAAATCATCCAGAAGTGTTTGGGAGACATCGCTGGAATCTTTGAGGAAACAAGAAAGCCCAGCAAACATCTCAACAATTTCTAGGGGAGACAGGTCATCTGACTGCTGCATATTCTGAACACATGTTGATAAGCATTCTTTTTCTGTAAGAATAAAGAATGAAATCAGTATGTATTATGTCCATTGCTTAAGAAAATTGTTTTCATTACAATACATTAAAATTTAATGCTGCATCAAACACCAGTATGAAGTATAAAATGCTGCAAGACAAATGCTACACATTCGAAAAGCAAATGGAAAACTAAAATTCATTGCAATGTTCTCTAAGTAGTAACAAAGGATAACACAGGAACATGTTGAAAAATAGCTGGCATTTATTCTAGTTCCTACATTGTACTTTATTCTTATTAGTAAACAAATCAATGCTTCAAAAATATTTGGTCTTTCATATTGATATATGAGTAACAGGGTAAAAAAATTTAAGAAGGAAAAAATCATTAAGTACTCAAAAGTTCAAATTAGAGTGAATATAGATCAATGAAATAAATCCAGAAATAAAAATTTTTAAATTATGTTTATAGTATGTACTATCAGTTTAAAACACAGTTATAACACATCAATACTTGGAGGACCCAGTGTCCTAAAACAAAAGCTAAGATCAACACAGGAATAGGAGGGAAAAAATTAAGAAGTAGTTCAGGTATCAGGCCCTAGGTTTCACACATATATAAGTGAACAGATTTCAAATGAATTACTTTGAAAGTTTTAGGACAATTTTGCATTTATGTCTATTTGTATTTTAAAAGCGACTACAGCAATTACCACTTATATCTGTACCTTGAAGTTCAGACAATACCATGTGTAAATTAGGCAGATGATTCCTCTTTAGTGCCTATTTCCTCTCTAGCTCACCAAGATTATCTGGCTGTTTAAGGTCTTTAGAAGTACTGACAATGGTAGCATTTCAAAAATGCCTGCTTTGGGGCTGGAGAGATGCCTCAGCGGTTAAGAGCACTGACTGCTCTTGCAGAGGACCCAGGTTCAATTCCCAGCACCCACATGACGGCTACAAACTGTCTTAACTCCAGTTCCAGGGGAATCCGAAGCCCTCTTCTGACCTCCGTGGCATTGCATGACACGGGTGCACTCACACACATGCAGGTAATACACTCATACACACAAAATAAAAATAATAAATAAAATAATTTTTAAAAAAGCAGAAAAATGCCTGCCTCTTTCAGTAGAAGAGAAGATTAGGCCATGGCAGCTCACACTGAATTATGACTGCATATCACACAACAATCAAATCATTTAAGATTTCTCACATTGGAAATATCCAACAAATCAAAAAGTATTCTCACATTGGAAACACTTAATAAAATCAAAAAGAACGGTTTCCTCCTGGGAAATCTATGTATGTATGTATGTATGTATGTATTTGGGAGGCCACTATAGAGTGAACCAAGGCCCTTCACATGCTGGCAAAGCCCTTTACCCCTGAGCTATGTACTCAGGCTTTGTTTTCTTTTTATTTTGAGAATGGGTCTCACTAAGTTACCTAGACTGGACTTAAACTCATTCTGTAGCCAAGCTAGGCAGGCCTTGAATTTTCTATCCTCCTGCTTTGGCCAAATGTGGTCCGACAAAAATTTATGTTTTAATTTAAAGGCCAATCCTTGGATGATTTAGAGATTCTAATAAATCTATCATCAACCAAAGAAAAATGAAAGTGGAAGCACAGGACGAGGTCCTCACCATGAATATACTTCACCACGTTGACACTCAGCCCATGACGGGAGATGGTCATGAGGACTTCTCCCGCACTCTTCCTCCAGGGCAGGTTATAGGGGGGGCACCAAGAAGTTATTGCACTGAATAAGAGCTGGAGGTCATCTTTCTGAGCCAGCTCCTCCGCCGGAGAAACAAAACTGCAGAGTTTTACTAAGATCTAAAGGTCAAAAGAAAATGAGAGGATGTGTAAGTAAACAAGAAGTCGAGGAAAGGCAAGAGCTGGAGAACAGTGACCTAAATATCACTCAGATGTTCAGAGTAAGTATTGGGCAAAGTCAGTAAATCATAAGGACCACTGCTCTTAAGCAACATTAAAAAGACATCTGTAATTTAGGTGTATGTTAAAAACAGCTTATTTAAAAAAATATATTTACTATCCGTCTTCAGCATGCATTTTTGTACATGGCATTATCATATTGCCTTTCATATTACATTTTACCTTTCTAATTTAGTTTTTCGTTTTTAATTTGCATTGGTGAAATGCAATTTAAAAAGCACATGAGGCATTACTCAAGCTAGACATCCGAAAGTGATTTTCAGATTGTTTCTATTTTATATACAAGAAGGAGATGTTTGAATAGCATAAATCATCTTAATTTGGAAAGATCTTTTAATTACATCAGTTGACAGAAACCTTCTGAAGTTTGGCTTTCAAAGAAGATATACTTCATTAACTCTAGAATAAAACCTTATGATGATTTGCAAAATGCACCCTACAGACATAGAGCACTGAGAACCTGCTTCATAGACGATTTGACACGGTTTCTACCCAATCCTCTTTCTTCCGAACCAATTTTAATGTCAGGAAACATCAACTTTTCTTCTCTGCGCTACACTTGCTCATCTAAATAGTTCTGAAAATAAAAGATGCTATAAAAGTTTTTTGTCCTCTTAAAAAAGTTCTTCATGAAATTTGGGTACTTTAATACTAGTAATAAAACTTCTAAATATATTTGAAATACCATGTTTTATACAAGAACGCTGTATCCTCCATTTCCTACACAAAACCAAAACTTTACTAAAAACAAAGACTTCCTAGTTTATAGCTGCCAACTTTTGGTAATAAAGGATTGAGGACTGGGGCAGTATGCCTGTCTTTTCCATAGCAAATACAGAAGGATGTGTATAGAGGGGGTTGCTGTCAATTCTGTTTGCTGTTGGTTCTGATACTGCCTTCGTGATTAGAGGGACAGATGCCAGTTCTCTAATTTGTAACAGAAAAAAAACCTAAAAACAGTTTTTAAAGAATCCAAACCAAATCCCTGATCACACAAATAAACTAGATTTAATGATTCCTTCAATCTGTTGAATCCTAAGATAATTGGTTCCTAATTCCACAGGCAAAATGATTCTTGCGAACAATCTAGCATAATCCTTTCACTTTTCAGGATGGAAACTGAGGACTCTTCCTTCCCTTTCACCCCTACAGTACTTCTAGTTGGAGGGACTCTGTTACAAAGACCATCCAAGTATGGCAGAGTAATAACTGTTCATCAGCAAAACAATGAATGCCTGAATGTAGCAGTACCAACCGCTAAGACCCAGGAAACCATCTGTCACACAGTGCAAACATGGAGATTGTATCTAGCACGAAACATTTAATACACTTGCATCAATTGACTTTCTAGACAAAATGATGAAACTACCATGTAGACTGGGATGAAGCACTAAAACAAAGGAACCGAAGTACCAAGGGAGCCCTGGGCTGGAAGAGGACAGGGGGTCCCTACCACGGCTGCTCACTGTGAGCCATACACAGAGACATCAGTTTCTATAACCAGAATGGAGGAGTTGACTGAAGCTACACTTTGGGCTCCTTTGTATCTTAAAGTTCAGTGATTATGCTACATTAACATAAGCCCATTATCTGAAAGGCAGCATCCGTGTTTCTAACACAGGGACTTTAAGTTTTTAAACAAAAAGATTGTTATGCTAACTTGGGTGCCAGGATTAGAAAATCAACTTCCACTTACTGCTTAAGGTCTTAATTCCTTTTTTAGAAAGTGTTCATTGAAATGGGGCCACTATTCTAACCATCAAGACTAAGCCACTATTCATCAGCAGGGTCTCCCATCAGCTTTAATTCCTACATGATGTATTCCTTCTCTTGATCCCACAGCTTTGATCATCTGCTGGTTGAAGATATAATCATTTTGGGGAAAAACAAAAGATCCGAAGTTACAGAGTTGTTCTGCAAGTTATATAAGGCTTTAAAAGAGGCACAAAACTATCTAATCAATCAACTGTTAAAAAACGTTTTTTTAAGTGTCTGTGAGATGCCCAGCCCTAAATTAGTGACACATCTACAACGCAACCTCTATACCTAAGGCTCAGAGAACACAGCAGAACAGGGGACAGAGAAAATACTAATGTATCTCTGAACTCTCACCAATGAAGTTTCCCCATGTCACAGACAGTGATTAACACAGAAAGCCACAAGTGGCCAAAATGTGGAGAATAAGAGACTTCAGAGTGTATGCCCCTGGATAAGACTCCTATACTAAACCTCTGCCACCCAGAGCTCAGGGACCATTGCAAAAGTCAGGGCAGAAAGACTGTAAGAGCCAGAGGTAGTAGATCACACAAGGAAATAGTTTTCTGAGTGGCTGGGAACTTGCTCACATGAACTTAGAGTGATGGTGACAGCATGCACAAGACCCATACAAACTCAAATCAGACAAAAATCTAGCATAGAAATGAGTAAGAAGCCCCAACCTTTAGCTGAGGAACTATTGGCAACTGATCACTGCTGGGTGAGGGAGAGTTGGCCTTCTTTAAGGAAATGATGTTAGATAAGTTGACCAGGCTCCAGTGTAGTGGATCAACTCATTCTGAGGGACATTTGGGAATACAAACTTGACTCAACAGGCTTAACACATAAGATAGAATATACAAAATCCAGTGTGGGGGGTATGGTGAGTTGCAGACGATCAAGATATATTGTATCAAATGCACAAAAATTCAATTAAAAAAAACTTTTGAGGCAGAGTTTCACATAGCCTAAGATGGCTTTGAATTCCTTATACAGCAAAGGATGATCTTGAACTTCTGATCCTCTTGCCTACACCTCCTGAGTGCTAGGATTATAGGTGTGAACTACCACACCCAGTTTATGCAGTGCTGGGGATTAAATCAGGGCTTCCTGTATGCTAGGCTGGCATTCTACCAATTGAGCTACATCTCCAGGTCCTAAATTATTTGAGACAGTATTTTAGCTGACGATTGTAGTCTTCTCCCTTCTTAAAACTGCCTTGGCATCCCATTCTCCACCCTTTCCACAGAAACACCTTTTCAAAGCAGTCACTCTTGCGGTAAGGGCTCTATGCCAGAGGTACTCATGCCACTCTAATCCGTACCCAGGCCATCCTGTCCAGCACGGATCCACTGTTCTCTCTAGTCTCTTCTTCCTCTCATGGCAACAGCACCAGTCACTTTTATTTAAAGTCTAGTATGTGCTAAGCAGAGAACCATAGCTCTTTGAATTACTCCATCTAAAAACCTTTAAGGCATATATTATTTTTACTTTGTAGGTGAGAAAATTTGCATCTGCAGTTATATAACTTCAGAAACCTAGATTCATAGGTAATATTATTTTATTTTACAATGCAGTGGTTTAAAAACTAGAATTTGTCATCTTTGTAACTGTAAGAGTATGTTACAGTATTGTTAACTATATGCAGAGTTGTGCAATGGAATTCTAGAACTTTTCATGCTATGAAGCTGCAGCTTTATACTCAGTAACCAGTCCCTAATAATCATTCTACTTTCATTCTGATTATCTGATGACTTTAGATGCCTCATATAAGTAGAACCATGCAATATTTATCTTTTTCAGTGAAAAATATTCTTTATATTACATTAAGTTCATGAACAGACTACATTCTGAATGTTTGTAGGCTGCTTGTTCTAAAACTGTTCTCCCAAGAAAGGGTACCAAAAGAGGGTATTTATATTTACCGGTTGTTCAAGAAAAGTCCTTTAAATCTCTGTTTATCACATTCAATAAAAGAACAGTGGTAGTGATAGGAAATAACTTTCCAAGGTGCAAGAGGAAGTGGGCAATAGCCAGTACAAAAGACTGTTTGCTTTTCTATTTTTTAAAAGATTGTATTTTTATCATTTTTAATTAAGTGTATGTCTGCATGTGGGTATGAACACATGTGTGGGTGCCCAAGGAGGCCAGAGGCATCAGATCCCCTGGAGATGGGATTTATGGACAGTTGTGAGCTGCCTAATGTGGTTGCTGGGAACAAAATTTACATCTTCTTCAAGAGCAGTTCATGCTTACCTGCTGACCCATCTCTCCAGCATCTAGACTATGTTTTCTAAGATCGATATTTACGAGCTAGAGAATGCCTTTTTATAAACAGAAATGATACAGACTTTCTTGTCTTTATAAGACATACTGCCCAAATTTAATGTGATAAATGTCAAAAATATTTTTCCTTTCTTTTTTTTTTTTGGTCTTTTTGAGACAGGGCCTCCCTGTAACCCCAGCTGTCCTGGAACTCACTATATAGACCAGGCTGGCCTTGAACTCACAGAGATCTGCCTGCCTCTGCCTCCCAAGTGCTGAGACTACATGATATCTCAAATATAATTTTATCAGCTGGATCTGTTGAGAAAAATAATGCTAATGCTTCACTCAAATATCCCTGAAAAATATTTTGATATTCCTTCTTCATTTATGAGAAAATGTAATTATAAGGAAAAGTCATATCATCATAAATGGAATGAAATGCCATAAAAAAATGGAATAGGTTGGGGCTGGAAAGATGGCTCAGTGGTTAAGGGCATTGACTGCTCTTGCAGGGGATCCGGGTTCGATTCCCAGCACCCTCATGGCGACAAACAACTGTCTGTAACTCCAGTTCCAGAGGATCCGATGCCTTCTTCTGATCTCTGTGGGCATTGCAGGACACGGGTACACCTACCTACATGCAGGCAATACACTGGCATACACATAAAATAAAATTTTAAAAAATTAAAAAAAAAGAAAAGAAAAGAAAAATGGAACAGGCAACTAATGATGACATGCACCTACAATTCCAGCACTAGGGGGTTGAGACAGGAGGATTGAGTTTGAGGCTACACAGTGAGAACCTGTCTTAAAACAAAGCACTAAGTTAAGTGGGTCATTTACTTAAGAAATGCTCTCATTTCATTTTACACAGTTCCTGAAACAACAGGTGAAATGAGTAGTTTCCTTACCTGGACAAAAACTTTCTGGAGTAGTCCTCGACGCTCTGCTAGAGGTAGCTCATTCTGTGCACCTCCAACTGCCTCAGGCACATGTGGAAGGTCAAAAAACAGATACAAACATTTAACCAGGGTGGAAGGCACTGACATCGTTGTCATGCAGTCCACGGTTTTCTGGAAAACAAACCAATAGAAGTGAATAGATAGACAGATGGGTGTAACTGCAATTGGCACAGCTGAGTAATTCACAGAGATTAAGCAGGAAATTATATACTAAGATCATTTTCAAATGCATGCAAGAATTAAAAAATGACTTCATACTGAGAAACATTCAATTTGCTGTTTGTACACATTTTCTTTAATCAGATGAGGCTGGTTTAATGGTCATTTATTAAATTTGATATTTATCAAGAAGCAGCTTGTTTCAAAGAAGACAAACTTTAGGAATTTGAGAAAAACGCACTAGTTAAACATGGTGGTGTACAACTTTAATCCTAGCACTCTGGAGGCTGAGGAAAGTGCATCTCTGTGAGTTTGAGGCAGTCTGGTCTACATAGGGAGTTTCAGACTGGCCAGTGAAACCCAGCCCAAAGTCTATCCTGGCTACAGGGTGAGCTCAGGCCAGCCTGGTCAACTTAGTGAGAACCTGTGTCAAAATAAAAATAAAAGACAGGCTGGGGATTTACTTAGTTAGTAGAGTACTTACCTAGTGTGTGAGGCCCTGAGTCCAATCCCAGTACCGAAAAATAAGTGAACAAATAAACAGATTTACAAAGCACTAAATGGTATATTATTTCTTTTATTACCACTTTATATTTATTCTTATTGGAAGTTCTTGGGTTGAAGGACATCTGAGAGAGGCAACATCACTGACAGATGGAGCTCTATTTTTTTCAAAGATTTACAAAGGAAGCAATTATGGATAACCTATTAGAAACCATCTCACTATTGCTAGGAAGTATGATCTAGTTTCAAAATATGCCATAGTGCAGTGTAACATAAAGTTGTACTGTGCTAGGGATCAACAGATTGGCATCATTTTCAATCATTTACTTTCTCCTCAGGCATACTTGTGGAATGTCTAGAGTGTGTGAGGCAGTGCATGGAGTCCTTGTCTTTCAAAAGATCGCACATTCTATAAACTTTAATAGATCTCTAAGAAACTCTTGATTCAAACTCCCACTGACAATGGCAGTACATACAACTCAATATAAATGGGAAGGATCAACACTGTCAGGAGTGAAACATAATTGTAAAGAATTAAAACAGGGAAAAATCACCTCGAAGACATATAAGACGTTAGATGATAGATCACAGCAGGTTTGAAGACCCAGAGTCCAAAGGGTTGACTCCTGAAAAGCCACAATAATGAACTAATCCTTAATTAGTGTTCATTGCACAAAAGGTATATGTGGTATGTTATCTATTCCTCGGGGCCAACATTGTGTGGAAGATACTATTCCTGTAAGGTCTGTACTTTCCAAGGAAAGTGAGTGAGGCTCATCTTTTGCATACCCTACTCTAGGTTGGAGAGCTGGTTGAGTGTCTGCTCAGCAACCCACAAAAACAGTCTCACATTCGACTTTTCTTTTACTGGTGATGGACACACAATGAAGTGTCACCAACAAAGCAACAGAATGAGAATTCAGGAAATCAGCCTGTAGTAGTTCAGATCATAAATTAGCAGAGAGAGTAGTAAGGAAACTAACAGAGGACATGTAGGAGAAATGAGGCCTGAACGACTGCAGCACTGGGGTGATGGAGAGGACAGAGCTACATGAGCAGCCCCTTGCAAGGCCTGGCCCACCTCTACACAGACATGTCATTTCCTGCATCTCTGCTCCATGCACCTTCAGCTTACTCCACACCACCAAGCACAGAATGCGCAGTCGGAACGCCTACCCAACCCTTAGTTTCAGAATGTTTAACACTCACATTTCTATGGCCAAAGGGGGCACATGCCCCACTATTGTATTTGAAGGTACTTTCTGTCTTCTACATGCGGATCCTCTTGATATCTCGCTGCTACCAGAGAAAATGGCGCTCAAACAAAAACAGCAGCTCAAGGCATAATGTGGAATTTGCTTTTAAAATGGATCATTTTCCAGTCAAATCATCACTAGCTTTCCTTCCCATTATGCAAAGCAGTGTGGCTTTTCATTTTCATCTTATTACTGAAAAATTTAAAGTATAACTTGGCATCCAAACTGGCATTTGGTAAAATGTGTAATTGTTAAGTGATTAGGCACTGCCTGATTCTTTTCCTACTTTTTATTTTATTATTATTATTATTATTATTATTATTATATATATATATATTTGGTATTTTTGAGACAGGGGTTCCCTGTAGCCCCAGCTGGCCTGGAACTTGCTGTGTAGACCAGGCTGGCCTCGAACTCAGAGATCCTCCTGCCTCTGCTTCCCGAGCACTGGGATTAAAGGGGTGCGCCACCACGCCCGGCCCCTTTTTTTAAAAAAGAACTTGGTTTAATTGTATAGCCCAGGCTAGCCTCTAACCCACTATGTAGCCTAGGCTGGCCTCGTACCTGGCCAGCCTCCTGAATACAGCTGTATGCCACCAGGTCAGGCTCTTTTCTTACTGGTAAGACTATCTACCCATTCATGGAGTTAAGTTCATCTACATTCACCGAGTTTCTATCATGTCAGGTGTCATGGTAGGACAGTCTGCTCACAAATTGGAAGGAAACATAAAGCATCTACAGAAATACCAGTAAAATTTAGAAACATTCCATTAAAATTTAACACGAAACACATAGAAAATACTGACAGTAACTACCTCACTTAAATGGGAACTTTATTTTGAGACAGGGTCTCCCTCTAGCCCCAAGTGGCATAGAACTCACTATGTAGACCTGGCTGGCCTTAATCCCACAGAGATCTGCTGGCCTCTGACTCCAGGGTGCTGGGATTAAAGGCGTGCACCACCACACTAGGCAGAAATGGTAACATTTTAATAGCATGTGGTGATTTGCTGCTTTGAACCAAATTTTGCTACTGTAGCACAGAAGTAGTCACAGGTACCATCAACAGCATCAGAATTAAGATTCTTGCTAGTAATCCAGTGTAGTCACAGACACAAGAAACAATGGTCTACTTTAGGACTATCTGAGGGTTACACAGGGTGACTGGCCCCTCCTACTTGCCTGGGACTGAGGGGTTTTCTAGGGCACAGGGCTTCCTATGCTGAAACTTTAGAAGTCTAAGTTCTGGAAAAGAGAACAAGTTCGTATTGAAGATTACCTATGTAAAACAAGTAAATGGAAAAACAAAACAGCAACCGACAAAAGAAAACAAGGGAAAAGTCCAAGTACAAGGTACTTGGGACTAGCGACTGAGTTAAAGATTGCGATACTAAGAAGTATCACTAATTCTGCTGTGACCAGTCACAAAAGCATGGCCAGTCACTTTTGTATAAAGTCCATTATCATATGGTGTGAGATAAGGTTAGGTTCACCGAGTTTAGACAATAGAAAACCAAGATGAGTTTTCATTATGATAGGTAATTATACTGTAGATTTTAGAAAATTGAATACATCTCATTTCAAGAGCATGAAAGGCCAAAAATAAGGTATACAAATGGCTCATTCACAAGTACATTCAACATGTATTAAGTACTTAGAGCTGAGTTAAGGAAAATAAAAACCAGTCTCTAGAATAAATCTGGTGAAAACATGGATTATCTTGAAAATGTCAATATTTCCTCTGTCATTTATTTCTTATGAGCTTAGAAATGTGCCTAACTCATGCATAGCTGATGGGTTACCTCCCTCTAGTCACCGGCAGTCCATCTGATGCCAAGCATGCTCTAAAATGGTATGTTTATGTGTATTAAAACATGACAAAGATGGAAAACACTGCTCTGAGCTGCATGTTTCCTCATGAGAAAAGGGGATACAACAAGAGAGCCTCAGGGCTGGAGAGGTGGCTCAGCAGTTAAGAGTGCCAGCTGTTCTCTAAGGGGACCTGGGTTCAATTCCCAGCATTCATATGGCAGCTAACAACTGTCTTTAACTCCAGTTCCAAGGGAATCCAACGCCCTCTTCTGACCTCCATGGGCACTGCATAAAACTGGTGCACTTACACACATGTGGGTAATATACTCATACACATAAAAAAATAATATTTATGGCCAGGCGTGGTAGCTCACACCTTTAATCCCAGGACTTGGGAGGCAGAAGCAGGCAGATCTCTGAGTTTGAGGCCAGCCTGGTCTACCTAGTGAGTTCCAGCTGGGGCTACAGGGAAAAAACATAATAATAATATTTTTTAAAAACAAAAAAAAGAGAGCCTTACAGAGTTATTGTGAGAAGCATGAAGTGATATCACAGAAGAGTCAGTAGAACAAACATGATTCCCATCTCTTATTTGGATATGAAGATACTATAATATCAAAATCCCAAGACAAGATACTGAAGGTTTGAGTTATCACACATGAACATGAAGAGCTCACCTGACCAGAGGAGGCCAACAGGTTAATTGTTGTCAGAAGCATCCAGCCTCTGCTGGCTTCTTCACTCTGATTGATCTCCAGGAACTGGACTATGGCCCGACTTGCAGCCTCTGTAGAACCAAAGGGAAGCTAATAAGCAGGGAGAAATTACTCATAAATCTAAAATCATTAAAGTATACCAAGGAAAAGACCACATCCCAGGCAAACATAGTATTTACACCCGCGCTCTTTTGTACTCTGGAACATTTACACTCAGTCTTTTAATGAATATACGTGTATGTATATTACTTATATCGCTAATATGGAACTGTAAAAAGCTAAAAGCTTCTTTAGGGAAAAGTCTATGATGACCTAATAAAGAACACTCATGGAGGAGGTGAAATCTGATCTAAACCTGCCTGGAAAACAAGTGCATGTCTCGGGACTGGGCAGAAGGGGTGGAGAGAAAAGCAGCACAGCAGCCAAACAAAGTGGGGCCAGAGGGTGAGGCAGACATGCACAGAGCAATATGAGAAACCACACGGTCACTGTTTTGGAAGAGAATACTTTCAAAAGTAGAGCCAATGTCAACAGCAGTGATTAGAAACATGCTTAATGATGAAGGCAACAGGCAAGCTAAATGCTGTATTTGACTCTGGGTAAAAGGAGCAGTTTCATGGTGAAGGCAGAAAAATTATTTTAAGACTATTATTCTCATAGTAAGGCAGACTAGCAGGCCAAAAAGACTGGTGATAGGAAAATAAAATTAGGATGTTGCCTGGATGATACCCACAGAGACAGCTATAGAGGCTAGCATAGGTCCAAGATAGCGAGGCACGACATTATTCATAAAACTGTAGTGTTAGAACAATCTTTGAAGGCCAATTCAGTTGATTATACTTTTAAGAGAAATGAAAATGGGGTTCATAAGATGCCTCAGCAGGTAAAGGTATTTACAGCAGAACCTTATGACCCGAATTCTATCCTCAGGACCCAGAGGGTGGAAGCAGAAGGCCAACTCCCACGAGAACATGTGCACTGAGAACATATGCATACTAAATAAATAAATAAATAAATAAATAAATAAATAAATAAATAAATAAGATCGCTGTGCAGGACTCCCCTCCTAGCCAGGCAGATATCACCCTCAGGATTTCAGCTGGGCCTGTTTGCAAAAGATCATCACAGCTGGGCTTTGTGACCATGGCAATTCTATCATAGAAGGAAGGGGTAGGAAGGAGTAGCCAGCCATTCCTCCTAGTGACTGCACACAATTTTGCCCTACTTGCACAGGGTCTCGGGGTCTTGGGGAGGGCCTAAAGTATACAGATTTGGAAGAAATAAGGGGGAGGCTCAAGTTATGAAGCCATGGGGAGCCAACATCCCTGATGGGTTCAGACCTTCCAGTATGGCTGTTTTAGGATCACCCATACTCTGTAAGAATCCCCAATAAACTCATTGGCTCTCCAGGGTGAACTTAGGTGGAATCAATCTTTGGTTTTCTTTGTTGGCACCTTATGAGAAGAGTGTAGACACTGTGTAGTTTCTCTACCTCGAAGGAGAAAATTCTTCTAACAGTGATTAAAATTTTGTAGATATTTTAATAAGTACAAATAGTTCATGATGAACTAACTGGGTAAGAAACTAAACTGCACTTAACACTTAATGAAGAAGCAGAAACACTACAATTTATATCTTACATGTGCTGCTTTTCTTCTGTTTAGTGTTTTCTTAGATAACTCAATTCAAAACTTACATACGATGTTGTGCTGGACACATTTTATATTTACACACATGTACTTGAAGAAATATTTTAACAGGAAAACAGGAAACATTTTAAAAAATATTTTATTTTACTTAATTTTTTTTTTAATTTTATGTGTATGTGTATATTGCTTGCAATGTAGGTAAATGCATCTGTGTTGTGCAATGCCTGCAGAGGACAGAGGAGGCTGTCGGATCCCCTAGAACTGGAGTTATGGACAGTTGTTAGCTGCCATGTAGGTGCTGGGATTCGAACCTGGGTCTTCTGCAAGAACAGTCACTTGTTCTTAACAGCTGAGCCATCTCTCCAGGCCCAGGAAATATTTTTAATAGTTTATTTTTAATGAGTCTGAATTACGTATCAGGTACAGTTTTCAGTGCTTGTGGGTTTAGCTTATTCAATTTTCACAAGAACTAGGTGAGTTATTTTCTCTTAGTATGCCTCTTCCAGAAAAAAGTTGAAAAATGGGGAAGATAAGTAATATGGCAACACAGTTAGTGAGCTCATCTTTAAATCCAGGCTGTCTAATCTGTAAGAGGCAAAAAGGTATTTTTTAAAAATCAGGCTAGAGAGACATCTCAGTTGGTAAAGTGCTTGCAATATAAGTCTGAGTCCCTGAGTTTGACTCCCAGAACCCATTAAAATAAAAAAAGCTGGGCGTGTTCAAAACAGTATCTACTGGACATGACTTGTGCACTCATGATTTAATACAGATGTGAATACCTGCTTAAGACCTGTACAATACTGGTACCTTCAATATCTCATCAAGAAAGGAAAAGAGCTCTTGAGGCCCACCCCTACTGAAGGGACTATTGGCAGTTAATAGTGGCGAGGGAAATGGATGTTATTTTCTTCACTGAGAAGCTGCCTATTCTCCAGTAAATAACCTACCACACATGCTCATGGAGGCAACCCTATGTAAACTCAGTGGGTCATATACACAAAAAAGACATGAAACTAATGAGGGGGAGGATTGCTGGGAAGAAGGGTTTCAGTTGGAGGAGAAGAAGACAGGGTATAGGGGGTGGAGAAGGACTAAAATCCATTATAGACATGCTCACTGGTCAGCAAGCCTTGCCTACTTAGGGAGTTCCAAACCAGTGAGAGACCCCTGTTTCAAAACAAAACAAACATAGACCTGCTGAGGGGTACCCCAATTGCCTCACCCTGTATCCTTGTTCAGCATGGAAGCCAGAGCAGTCTGTGTCCTGATTTCCTATTGGCACTTTGGGTAACCTCTTCAGAGTGTAGGACCCTGAGACCCTCTTCATTCACCCGCTACCCCCGATCCCTCCAGACCCCCACTAATTGCTCTTTTAGCTTCTGTAAAATGCTTGGCTGCTGCTTTAGACATGCCTAGACATGCCCTGACCCCTGCCTGCTATCCCCCCCCTTCCAGGAAACTATAGATTAAGCATGCCCAGGCATGAAAACTGCCCTATAAGGTAAAA